CAATCATATTTTACTACATAATATTGTGTAGTATTACTCATATTTATAATTAAAAAAAATGAAAACATTTTAATAGTTGTGGCAATTCAAACATATATACTTTTTCACATTCAAATTACACATAAAAAAGGTTTCATTTGTTAGGGTTTTATTAAAATATACTAAATCTCATTAATTTCAAGAATTATTAGAATTTTTCTTTTAGAGTGCTAAAAATTAGCACTTATTTTCCTTAAATTTTTTAAAAGTTTCCATAAAATTTCAAAAAATTTAATCAAATACCTTTCTTATCAGTTTAATCAAACCAATTTAATAATTATTATCATCCAATATTCTTGTTGGCCCATTAAGTATTAACTTTACCTATGTATAGTTGGAAAGATATTTATAGCACCAATTATGTATAGTTATCATTTATCCACTTTCTATATTTTTGAGTGAGTATTTGTGAAAGGGAATACCATACTTCACAAAATTGAATGATTCAAGCTAACTAATTTTTTTTTTTTAAAAAAGGGTCCAAATATTATATTTTTAATTATATCAACTGGGACGTGTTCTTTATTATTATTATATATTTTGTTCTTGCAATTTATGCATTTATTTGAATAATAAAAGAAAATGGTGTAAGTAGGTGATTGTAAATGAAGATAGTGCCATTAATGAAAGAAATTAGTTAAGGATATGTAACATATTTCACTAAAACAAACGCTTCAATTCGATAGTCACACGTGTTCTTCTAATCACAATATATATTCATATTTTACAACTTAATTTAGCTTGTCGAGATAAAACATAAATATATGCTCGTTTCACTTAAAAAATCTCATTTTATTAAACAATATACAAATAAAATCGTAAACTTATTGGCGAAATCTCGAAAATAAGTATTTCATAAACACTATAGTAGGTATTTAAGTAAAAAATTGAAGACCAAGCGATTAATTATATACATGTGAAGTAGGATCAAGTGACAAAAGCTGGTATCCTTTTATTTATAATATATGTACCATTTAAATTTAGTACGTACTTAAAAGAATAATGGAGGTACGGATATGGATGAATTCTTAGGTATATATGTCCTATGTTGTCTTTTATCATAAACAATTTTTTGTAGTGTTCTCCATGGAAACGTTTAGTGAAAAATTTATTTTAGGCAACAAATAACGAGGAGAATTGTAAAACCCCTCCCTAGCCAGGTATTTCCTATATATTTCTTGGCAATTGAGAACCTAGAAAAGACACGTCTAGGAAATGAGTTTGTTTTAAAACCTATATTTTGTTTGTTTTGTCTTTTTTTTTTTTAATGCATGATATTAAACATCCCATATCCATAAAATAATTCAAGAAATTTAGCTTCCTAAGGAGTTATTATCATAGGTATATAATATTATTTAACCTTTTTCATTCATTTGACAAGGAAATGGTCATACAAGGTTTATTAACACATATTTACTTCAACATCCATAATCCAAAAACCATTTGATGTTATTTTACAACAAAAATTCAAAACATAGCAAAAGCATTCCTTCATGCGCATGTTATTCCCCAGTAGCCTCTCCCAGCTTCAAGCTTCAATTCTTACCTACAAAACATTTTAAACAATTTCGTGGGATGAGCGCTAATCGCTCAGTAAGGGAATATGGCCTTTCATAAACTATTGAGGTTCATTATACAAGTATATTACTCAGGATCTTACCTTTACCTACCTACAAGACATGACCATCATTCATTGACATTATCAAGTTCATAAAACAAGTCATACGCTTTAGACTTTCCTCATAAATATAAGTCATAACATAACCATACATAATATAACATAGAACATTTATGCCTTATGCAATATTCATAAACATGGCATGCCTATTTCTTTTGTCTCTGTACTTGATGTTTTCATTAGTCATTATTATCTGATCGGATTCATTTGAACCATTACCTTGTTCTTGGGCATCACCTCAAAGGACTCATGGTTTCCACAAAGATTCCATTCCTCTGATCTTGGTTTATACCTCAAGATACTCATGGAATTCATTCTTTAACATTTCATAAATGTTTTCATAAGTCAACTAAATAAGCTATATGCATAACTATTATGAATGTAAACATATGCGATAACATATCCCATGCTCAATCATACTATTCATTCATTTAACATGTACCCTTAGCCAATTGCACAATTCATCAATCAATTTAGCAAAAATCCATGGCATGAATATTTCCCTATTAAATTCATTAACTTAATTCACTTGATTTCTTATACAACACAAGGAATTTCAACAGTAAGATTATTTAATGGTTTATTAGAAATTATAAGAAAGATGGGAATTTTATTTGAGGAGGTGGATGCCATATGGTTCATCACTATTCAAGAAATTTTTTCCTCATCTTCCAATTCGAATTGATTTTTGGCTAAAACATAAAATTTTAGATCTATTTCTCAACTTTTTAATACTTTAAGAATCAGCTCAATTAGACTTTTATAACTTCAGTTACGACTGATTCTGTGAAGCATGTACAGTATAAGTCTTAAAAAGCCAAATCCGAATTCTATTCATTTTTAACCATGTCACATTCATTTGCACATTCATAGTATTTGTCATATCATTCTAAGTATAAAAGGCCATAAAAACCTCCCTTTTTACAAAACCAAAAAGTGCCAAACCATCGTCCAACTACAAATCTCTTAATTGGCATAAACATCCTCCATATGCACACATACACCAATCAACACACCCATTTAAACAATCCATAACCAAAACATAGCATCACACTCAAATTAACATAAATAGATGCAAGTTTCATCAACCCTAGGTGTTATCAATTGTAGTCATAAGGGAGATTTTTTCCTTACCTTAGTATTCAAAGCACAAAGACACTCCTCTTAGCTCCAAAGGTTCACCCTTTCTACCTTACACACATAACCACTTATGAATTTCTCTTTGAACTAAAAATCACAACAAACTAGGATTTTAAAACTCACCTTAAACCCTGAAATTGAAGTTCTTTAAGTGAGGATGGTGATCTCCTTTGAAATTCAACTTGAAATCCTATGAAAATTTTGAGAGAGAGAGTTTGAATTTAAGCCTTTAATAGAGGAGAATGAGACTTGAAGAAGAGAGTTTGATGTTCTAAGAGTGTTGGCCGACTTAACCAAGAAAATATCTTATAAATATTTCATTTTTTTAATTCACAAATGGGATTGGCCATCAAAAGTTAGAGATATGGGTCATTTGGTATAAATTTTACATATAAGGGCATTTTGGTCATTTATACTACAACATAATTATTACACTCATTTAATGGCATTTGACTTTTCTTTTCTACTTGGTGACCAAGTAAATCCATAAGATAATTAACTAATTTACCCATAATAAACTTTTATGGATACTTGATTCCTATAAATTATTGTGAAAAGACCATTATACACCTTGGGAACAGTTTATGCCTTTTAACCCTACTAACCACCTTCATGACCCTTTAACCATACTTCTTATCAGTATCATCAATTCCTAACACTTTACAACATTCAGGTCTCATAATGCATGCAAAATGACCATTTTACCCTTTTATTGATAAAAATCCTTTTAAGGGTAGAATTACATACCTTATAGCATCAGAACGCTTACGCAGGGGTTTACAATCCCCCCTCCTTATAAGAATTTCATCCTCAAAATTTAATTGAAGAGATCTGGATACTTTTCTTTCATGTTTTGCTCGACCTCCCATGTTGCTTCTTCAACATTCTGATTCCTCCATAATACCTTAACAAACGGTACATACTTGTTTAGGAGTTCCTTAATTTTTCTATCCAAAATATGAACTGGACATTCTTTGTAAATTATGTCATCTTTTAGCTCCACTTCTTTTGCTTGAAGTATGTGAGGAGGATCATTAATATACTTTCGCAACAAGGAAACATGGAACACATTATGTATCCGATCCATACTGACTGGTATTGCAAGTCTATACGCCATCTTGCCAACTTTCTCTAACACTTCAAATGGACTGATGTATCTAGGAGCAAGCTTTCCTTTCCTTCCAAATCTCATCACTTTCTTATAATGAGAGATTTTCACAAACACTTTGTCTCTTTCTTAGAACTCTATATCGTTTCTTTTCAGGTTTGCATATCTCTTTTGTCTGTCTTGGACCTGCTTCATTCTCTCTTAGATTAACTTTACATCTTCTATCATTTTTTGTGTCATTTCTGGACCGAGAGCTTGAGCTAATGCATTCTTTTCTCTTATTTCGTCCCAATGTAATGGAGATCTACATTTCATTCCATACAAGGCTTCATATGGTGCCATTTTAATGGTTGCTTGATAACTATTGTTATAAGCGATTTCAACTAGAGGGAGAATGTCACACCAATTCAACTTGTGATCCATACAACAAGCCCGTAACATATCCTCCAATATTTGATTCGTTCTTTCTGTCTGTCCATCCATCTAAGGATGATAGGTTGTGCTAAAATTAAGCCTGGTACCCAATGCCTTCTACATGCTACTCCAAAATACCGACATAAATTTTACATCTCTATCTGAGACAATACTACTAGGTACTCCATGTAATCTTACTATTTCTTTGACATATAATTGGCCTAGCTGATCAGAGGAGATCTAGTCTATAACTGGAATGCAATGAGCAGATTTAGTCAATCTATCTACAATCACCCAAATGGCATTACAACCGCCTTGCACTCTAGGAAGACCTAAAATGAAATCCATAGAAATATCTTCTCATTTCCACGGAGGAATACTAAAGGGCTGCAACAGTCCTGAAGGGCACTAATGTTCTGCTTTAACTTGCTAGCACACCACCAAGCATCTAGTAACATACTTAGTTACATCTTTCTTTAACCCTAGCCACCAATAGCTCTTCCTCAAATCCTGATACATCTTTACACTCCCTAGATTAGTAGTGTAAAGAGTATTATGTGCTTCCTCTAAAATCTTCTTTCTCAATTCAATATCTTGAGGAACATACACTCTATCTCTAAATTACAGGATTCCATTCACCCATTTGAATTCTGATTCTCTGGCATCTTTCAACTGCTGCTCAATTCCTTTACTAAACCCATCATTCGCTTGTTTTTCTCTAATTTCCTCCAACAACTTAGACCGAACTTCAATTTTGGACAATTTCCCAACCGCCAACTCTATCTCCTCCTTCATTATCTCTTGTTGCAGGTGCTTCTGAAGAGTTAGCTGAGCTAAGGAGACTTTCCTGCTGAGGGCATCTACAACTACATTAGTTTTCCCTAGCTAATACATAATATCACATTCATAGTCCTTCACCAGCTCAAGCCATCTTCTCTACCTCATATTCAATTCTTTTTGGGTGAAAAAGTATTTTAGACTTTTGTGATCTGTGTAAATATTACCTTTCACCCCAAAGAGATAATGTCTCCAAATCTTCAAAGCAAAAACTATAGCTGCTAATTCGAGGTCATAAGTGGGATACCTCTTTTCATAGTCTTTCAATTGATGAGAGGTGTTAGAGTAGGTGCCCTAGAGCTAATCAATTATTGTAGAATTGACTCTTTGTAATAATGTTCATTGATCAATAAAAGACATTTTATTCTATATCACGTAAATCATCATTGTATGTATTGAAATATATCCTTAGAATGGTAGAACCGTGACGAGGGTATCAAGTGTTTCAAATCTTGATAGTGAGAACCCTATGAGTACATATGGTGGCCATTCTAGAAACATCCGTAGCCTTAGTATTATTCTGCAGTAATGGCACAGATAATACGGTAAGGCTATCATAGTGTTGAACGACCTTGTCGAAAGGCAGTGACTGATCTCACTTGTTAAGGTTGTTTGATGACAACCTAGTGTAACACATTGGTGCTTGCTGTAGGCAAGTTCACGAGACTGACCCACCAGAGGATTCCATATGGATGGTAAACCTAGTGTCTATGGAACAAATCCTCTAACGAATGGTGATGCATGTAATCCTTAGACTTGAGATCATCGGAGCACCTTGTGCACCAATTGGTGTAATTTGACACTAGCCCAATGCAGTTATATTCAGAGTTGTCAATAGGGTAGTGATTGGCTGCATCAATAAGTGTATCAAGACTATGGTGGATCGACAAAGGATTCATCACTCCCAGGTACGGGGGGAAGTTATCTCATGGTGCAATTTAGTAAATGGCAAAGACACTAAAACTGTGGCCATAGTGGGATTGAGTTATTGCTCTATCCAGTTTCTAATTTCGGTCATTGGTCTAGTAACTGAATACATAATATCGAGAGTAACCAAGGTTGACACTTTTCTATGCCCCAGTCTCGTTGAGATAATGAATGATGAAAGGATTGGATTGTGCGGTAACCATATCATTGACTGACAAGTAGCTGCTTCGCTAAATCTGAATCTATCAGGTGGCCATGATGCCTCGCTAGGGGCCAATCTTGGTTTGTGTGTAGTGAGACGATTAATTGGTGTTAATCGCGATACTACACACTACCGGTATGATGAGGAGCCTACGGGTCACACACATAGAAGATAATTTAAGAGCCAGTTTATAAGAAGGGCGTTTTCATCTTTTTAGGCAAAAAAAAAATATTTTGGTAATCTCACAGTGCAATTAAATTTGCTGAGGTCAAAGCCTTTATTTAATTTGATATTAAAATTAAATAAGTGAGATTACGTTTAAATATGTGTTCGCTTATATTTAAATAAATTATCATTATTGTTAAATGTTAATATTATTATATATATATAAATATATATATAATATATATTTAATTTCATTGAGATAATGATAATGATAATTAAAATTAAAATATCTAAATGGGGTTGTGGATACAAGGGGTGTTTGGGTTGCTACCCAAGCCTATTCCATGATGGAATAGGGCAAAGTGTGCACTATATAAGTGCAACACTTTGTGAAATTAATAATTAATTCATTTCGATCATTTGATAAAAACCTCAACCCCCTTTTCTCTCCCACGCCAGTTTTCCTTTTGCTTGAAAGAAAATTTGCTTGATTTTGTTCTTGTATCTTAAGGCTAAAGAGGATCTAGCAAATCTCTCTTTAGTTCCTTGGGGTTATCTTTGTATGGACTAACAGTGGTTTGATCCTACCCTTGGATCGGTAGCGAAACCCATTCAGAGTTAAAGTTGGAGGAGCCTCTAAACGTAGGTATGGTTTCTTAACTTTAAATTGATTTTCTGCAAATTTGTATTTAATGCATAGATTGTTAAATTTGTACCCTGATCTTGGTTCTAAGGAATGATCCATGTTGTTTATGATTTTTTGGTTCCGCTGCCATAACTTGATAGTTTCCTAACAGTGGTATCAGAGCCAGGCTACCAAATTTTACAGTTTATTGTATGATTTATAACATGTGTTTGATTGATAACATGTTATTTTTGTTAAATCTGCAAAATCTGCTTTTGAATGAGTGATTCAGTTGATCAATTGGTTTGATAATGTGTTGGTGAACGTTATATTGGTTGGTTGGTATCCTGGTCAAATGCTTGTGTGTTCGATTTGATTTGGATACGTGTTATTACATGAAAAACTGAAAAAGTGCGAACTGCACAATTTTGGGATTTGTAGACTTCGCCGCTGCAACATACTTATTGGAATTTTCAGGGTTGCCTGTTTTGCCACAGTGAAATAAAACTTCGCCGCGGTGACAAAGTTGCTGTCCCAATTATGTGTTTTTCGTAAAGGGACCAAACTGCAGTTTTTAATAACCTATAAAGCCAATAATCATTCTGCACATATAAGACGGTAATTAATAATAAACCCACCCAATTCAAAAATTGATTGTTTTTGAAATGTATGCCATGTACTTGTTTGTATATTGCATGGTGCTGGTACATGAGCCCTGTGACCTATGGTGAATTGTTTAAATTATTTTTAGGTATGTATGGTTGTAAGTTTTAAAATAGGGTCTGCGTGTCCTAGCTTCCTTCCCTTTCTTGATGTACATTCTCTTCTCATCTCATTCCCCTCGAATGTAAATCGAGGTTTCTAAATTTGTTGATGTAAAATTACTTTAAGATTATTTTTATTGTAAATTTAGTATGATATTTTTGTAATGTACTTGAGGCGGAGCAAAGGAACAGGCAATCGTACTTGAAGACTCAAGATATTCATTACAGGACCCCTAGGTGACCTACCGATTCCTCTAGGCTTGAGGAAATCGGTTTTAGTTAGGCCATGTACCGACACGTTTTAATATTTTGTTTAGAATGCATACTAAGGTTGAATGTTAAATAACATGCTAAACAATGTCATTCTAACAAAGATAATAATCTGGTGAGACACTAAATAACAAACCCTCAATAAAAGTATATTAAGTCACATATGCCTTCCATCACTATGGTTTTAATCAAACCATTGTTCGTCAAAACCTTGTTCTCCAAAGCGAAGGGTACACTTCTACCAGTGGGAGGTTAAAATTCATAGGAGTTTTCCTTAATGGTGATGGGTCGACTTAAAATGACGGTTTTGCTTGTTCGCCAAAGCGAAGGTTGATAAACGCGTCATAGGCATAGTAGAGAAATACACACATTGTGTGTACGTGGTGGCATGTAGTGTCCACTCTACTGATATTGAGAATCACACTTGAGGATGATGGTTAGGGCCATTGGATTGTGTGATTGACTTGTTGGCTTCTTCACATTTGAGGTTGATAGTAGGAGCTATCAACTGGTATGGATTAAGTTTGCTGGCCTACCTAATCAACTCATTTTGGCTTACCTAATCAACTCATTTTGGCTTGTTCGCCAAAGCGAAGGTTTGAAATGGGCCAGATGGGATCTCAGTCTACTCGGAAAGCCAACGGGCTTTCTCGAGTTAATAGGGAGGGCTATTGACTTGAGGAAAATAGTGGGAGCATCGTTTAATAAAAAGACCATATTAAATAATGATGAATTTTATAATGACTTTATCTTTTCTGCAATTGTAGATTCACCAAAATGAGCATTATGAACCTGCGACCGATAATCAAAAACGTAAAGAGGTTGGATGGATCCAATTTCTCAGACTGGTATCGTAATCTTCAGATTTTACTCAAGTTGGAAAAGAAATTGTATATCCTTGAAAAGCCATACATGGCTGAGCCTAATCTTGATGCCACTCAGGAAGCAAAGGATATTTATCAAAAGTTCCTCGATGATGTTAATGGTGTTCAATGCTTGATGTTAGCATCGATGACACCAGTGCTGCAAAAGCAGCATGAGAATATGGACGCTACTACCATTATTCTACACCTCAAGGAGCTTTTCGAAGGGATTGCTCGACATGAGAGGTACAAGGTGTCAAAAGCACTGTTTGGAAGTCGTCTAACTGAGGGAGCCCAAATTGGTCCTTATGTACTCAAGATGATCGAGCACAGAAAGAGGCTTGAGACTTTGGGATTTGAGTTGGATGCAGAATTACAAATGGATTTAATTATGCAATCCTTGCTTGACTCTTATGCACCATTCATAATGAATTTCAATATGAACACAATGGTGAAAACTCTGTCAAAACTTTTGAACATGCTGAGGACTGCAGAATAGGACTTGAAGAAGTCCAAGCCTGTTTTACTGGTTACTGCTAGTAAAGGAAAGGGTAACGGCAAGGGTAAGGCCAAGACCAAACCCAAGCCCAAGCCCAAGCCCAAAGAACAGGTTGCTCTTGGGCCTCGAAGTGGCATAGGGAAAAGCAAAGTGGTCTACTTCTATTGTGGCAAGCTTGGCTATTGGAAGAAACACTGCAAGGCTTTCCTCGCAAGCAAGAAGAAGTCAGATGCTATGACTTCAGGTATATTTATGATTGAGATTAACTTCTCTCCCTCAACATCTTGGGTCATTGACACTGGATGTGGTACTCACATTTGTACTGATGTGTAGGGACTAAGGTAGAGTAGAGTGCTCGCCAAGGGGACCTACGAGTTGGAAATGGAGCACATGTGGCTGCATTGGCTATAGGGACTTACTGTTTATCTTTGCCTACGAGCTTGTTGTTGGGACTACATAGCTGTTATCATGTACCTTCTGTTTCTAGAAATATATTTCAGTATCCGCTTTGGATAATATAGGGTATCATTTTGAGATATCTAATGGATTGTTATCCTTTAGTTTGAATGGTATTCTATTTGGAATTGCAAGGTTATATAATAGGTTATATGTTCTTGATTTAAACAATAAATATATTCTCAATGTTGAAACCAAGAAAGCTAAACATAGCGATCAAAACCAGACATACCTTTAGCACTGTAGATTGGGTCATGTTAATAAGACTCGCATTGCA